CTGCAGTTTTTTGTGCGTGAAGAAATAATAATTTGATCTAGAAATAAAATCTAGCAGATGCGGAGTTTAAAAATGAGGGCTTAACCATTCTCAATAGAAATCAAATCATAATCTTAAACTATTAGTTATTTAAAATAGTGGATGTACTCCTTACAAAATACCCACCAAAGTGTTTTCGGGGATCATAATTTCGAAAATGCACGATATAAGCAAAATCAGGAGACTAGCTGTGAAAAATGATCATTTATCCGATATCTTGAAAAGCCGCATAGATATTAATCTTCGCATTCGAAAATTTGAAACTGAATATTGATATCCAGCAGCAAAACCATAGCTTTCATCAGAAATCCTGAATTTTGTGAATTTAGCTACAGTTGACTATCTTTTGTTCTAGAAAAAGTACCATTTCTAGAAATTTAACTGATATAATTACTGGTTAAAGTGGAATAAATATGAGTTTTAACTAAATATATAATTATAAGTTGCGATCAAAAATGAGACTCCGCGACAAGGCAGTTTCACTTTATTGATTTATTATTATTGAATGATGGGTTCAACAAACTGTTCCGTGGGTTCAGCAACTTAGGCTGTTTTAGCAGCAATTTTGAGCGAAACAGTGTTTTAGCTATTTGTTCCTGCAATCCAAAACAGGAACGAAGATCAAAGAAAACTTATAAAGTTTCGGATTCCACACAAAATCTGATTTTGGCTTGTTGCGATGTCTATCTCGAACTCATAATTACATGATTTGGCCTCTTTCGAACTCACAAATACTACGTTAAAGGCCAAAAATTTGTTCGTATTAATTTTGATAATTAAAAGTTTTTGATAATTCGATTTTTGGTAATTGAAAATTTAATAATTTTTTTTTTCACTTTATATCTGACTTGTTGAACAAAAATAGAATTCTTCGACCAGGGTTAACAAAACGGAGATCAGATGAGAACGGGATTTCTCGATTGACCACAGTCGAGGAGTATTGAAAATTTGTAAGAATTACAAAAAAAAGTTTTGGTTCAATTTGTTTTTCAGTTAAGTCTAGTAGTTTGTTCTCCTTATGGTTTGCAGGCAACGAGGAAACAATATCTCGCAAGGAAAGATTTTGAGATAAATGTTTTCAAAATCAATGCCAAAGTTACAAATTATGCAAGTGCAACTGACGGATCAGCTAAAATTGAAGAGAAAAATGATGTGTTTAAGTTATAGTAATTGCACAGCAACAACGATTTTGATACCATAAATCGACCCGATTTTTATCTTGGAGCTATCACTGCAAAAAAATGACCAATTAAATGATTGGCAGCAATTTCTTTGAATTTCAGGCAGAAGACTACTTATTAGTAATTTCGAGAACTCTGACAGCAACTGAGTCCGATTGTTCGAAAAAACTACTTTCACAGCATTAAGAAATTGCATCAATGACTTCGAGTGAACAGTTGTGAAAAGCTTTTCTTGCGAAAAAAGACGAGAGGAATCTTAACACCTGACAGAGGCTGATCTTTGTTTAAAAAAGCAAGAGCTTGAAGATCAGTCAATGAAGAGTCCTTGTGGTCGATGAAAAACATCACAAGTTAGTCACGGTTTTTTCCCTTGAATATCTGGAGGACGCGTCGGAAATCAGTCGGCGCAGGTAAAGAAGGCGATGGTTGTTCAAGAAACTCAAACTGAAGAAGAAATAGGAGTTGCCAGTTCAAGAAGTAGTTCAGCCCCTGTTGCCGGTGGTGAATACCAACTTGGACTCTGCTTTCTGCTTTTTCTTTCACAAGTTTTGAGCCACCGTTTAGCAGGAATTTTACCATGCTTCAGAAAATTTATATGGATGCAAATTGGTTTGAAAACACATACATTCCATCTCCTGGTGCAAGCGATTCAATTGCCGCGAATATCAATGTTAATAATTGATATGAATTGCAGATAAATTTACCTCCGAATGCGTAGCTTTTTTCATCAGAGTAATCTCCCATCAGAGTAAACTAGCCAGCTTTTTATCCCCCCCCCATGTTTTCTTCTACAAATCTCTCAACAACGGTTTTACCTCCTGCTACTCAAATTATTACGCAACTAACGATGGTTCATCCATTCTGGAAGGGAGGAGAAACAATTTACCAACAGCCAATGACCAATAGTCGTTCGTCGCATCTCAATTATGTTAGTACGAAGGATCCCCGTCAGACGCTGCTAGGCGTAACAAGCCAATCAACTATCAAGACTAGGCTGAAATTTTGACACTAAGTCTGAAAGGTCCCATGCCAGAGTGGACATTGTCCTCATTTGAAGGTAACCCATCACAATGGCCTAAAAATGTTGCTCAGATTAAAAAAGTGAGTATGTCAAAGTCCATGAGTGATGATGTCAAATTGACCTTTTTCAAAAACCTTGTATCCGGAAAATTAAAGAACGCATTTGCGGAGTTTGCTTTCAATTGTGCATTTTACAAAGATTCTGTAGAACACTGGAAACTTAGTTTGAACAACCATTTATAGGTGCTCGTCTGAAAATGTATTGAAATAGCACAAATCAGAAAATATCCTCAGTTTTTACGTTTGTGTCGCCAATCTGAAATCGCCAGGATAAAAATACGTCTCGAAGAGTACAAAGAACATTAACCAGGTTTTTGCAAAGTTGCCTCACAACATGATAATAAGAGATGTTGGAAAGAACCAACAACGCTGGCTTTCAATAACTGGCATCGCGACAAAGTCATGTCTAGCCAAATAAGTAAAGAAGCCCCCACCAACAGTTTTTCTATTGCCACAACATGCCAAGAAAAATTACGCTCCGTGCCGCATGTAAAAGTAAGCGCCTTTATGGAGTATTGTTGCATTGGAAGAAAAACAGTTTCTCAATGGACTCAGTTCGCCGCTCAAAACAGTTTGCTCGCTTTCAACAGGATTACATGTCTTGTTACATAGTGCTGAAAAACGTTTTCACCGCAAAGCCGCTGAACAACACAGTAGCAGCAGAGAAGCAACAACACAAGATATCATAAATCAAACAACATGGCTCCAATTGGTCGGAAACCATCTCCACTCATCTGACCAAAAAAAACGTCAATGCTAAAACCGATATCTGTATAGGCACGTTTAGTGTTTCGCCGTATGTCGAAGTTAAATAACTTTAGCGTTGGTTTCAAAGCAAGAGACGTTCTCATTCTGCACGATAGTTTTCCGCATCTACAGACAAATAAATCCATTGTTCTTCACTATTCCGAAGTGTTTTCATGCTAATAAGTATTTGAGCTGCCAATTTTCATTGCAAAGCTGAATTTGTAGCACCTGTAGTAGTAGGAGTAAGAATCTTTTCTAAAAATTTGATCCCCGTTCCACATCTGATAAAAAAAATCATTTTTTAAAAAATTCTAGTACGTGTTATGATGGCAGCCCTTACGAGTCGGAATGCTCTGAGTTTAAGATCTGTTTCTTCGGCCAGATAATCTCTAAACCTCATTCGTTTAGTTTCAACCTGATGAAGAACGTTTAGAGAACAGTTTGAACTTCAGAGATCAAAACTTTTTGGATATCCGGATGAACTTGGGGAAGGTTTTTATAATCCGCCCAGCCGTCATGACTCAAAAATCGTTTGGAGCAAAAACGGTATCTTCCGCCTTACACTATTCTAAACCCGAACAAATCCGGGATAGTTCGACGGGTTTTAAACGGGACAAGCAAGTTTTTCGGCGAATCGCTAAGTAGCTCCCCTCATGCTGGCCACTAACTGCTGCCTAAACTGTTGTTTAGTTCAAGGCGCTGCCGACAGCACAAATATGCAGTATTTGCAGGCATTAAAGGAGTGCTGAAGTGTGATCAATGTTTGGTGATTTTTTTTGTGACGGGAAGACCCCACATTACACGTGCGCTTCGAAATACCAGGCAAATCTTCGGAGCGATCGTTCAAACGACTTTTGCTTATTAGGGTTTTCGCCGAATAGCCGCGGGTAATCATGATTGTCATCTCTAAGCCGCTCAGGTGAAGCTGAACAATGCTTAATGGATGACCTCGGTTCCGTTGAATGCCCGGAAGTGATTAAAACTAAAATCAGTTCTAATACCGCTAGAAAAACCGTACTGCTCCCTAAGCCAAATAAAAACTTTACTTCTCCAGCAATCCCTAAACTGTTTTGCACTTTCTCGATCTCGAATGAAAATTAATGAACCGATCTTTTTTTAAAAATGTACAGGCTAAATTTGACGCCTCTCGCAACCGTCTTCGAAACTCATTACTCATTAGTTTTGGGCAGCTGTCAAAAATTAAACAGATTATCTGTACCTTCTTTACATAAAACTGATTGTCAGTGAGCCGACTGGTTCAGTCCTTCAAGAGTATTTTGTTGTACTACGATGGAGATCTGCACCGAAAACTATTGAAACGCAGTGCGCATACAGCAGAAAGCAAAAAAAAACGGTGCGCCAAGGAGGTCCATTTTTCCAGTAGTAGAACGTTTATGCTACAGCCGGCCCTTATTCTCGAAATGGTGATGTCAAAATTTTCGGAAGGTATGTAGTAACTATTCGTCGATCTTCGTGAAAAGCTGGGCAGTTCTTTCTACTAAACGAACCGCGCAATTCATTAGAAAATTATTCGCTCAAAGGACAAAAGATAATATGTGATGGCTATCGAGTGCTTCATCATCAAGTATGCAACCTTCTTGGTAGTTTGATTGGACAATGGCACCAATTGTGTAGGAAGAGTAAAAGCTTCATGCTGCAATCAAAATTAAAAAACAGAAGCTCTGCAGTCACTTGTTCACGAAGGCATCAATTTTTAGGTAAAATCCACCTAGTGCACCACTTCAACGTGGAGCAGGGAAGCAAGCAAAAAAGCGCAGTCAAAAAATTGACCAACGAGGTTTTGAACACAAGCATGCGCTTGGCTGAAAGTTCGGTGAACGACCGTCCGCTCAATTACGTTTCCGACGAGCCAGTAGTCTCGATACTTTGACGAAGAAATAGTTTTTTTACGACAGCACAGTGTAACACTTACTTCCCTAAGGTCGAGCGGAAGTTTTTCTCCCTCTTAATGCTAGGCCACTTTGCAGTTTTACGCAAACGTAATTTGGCAGCGATGGTTTAGCGACTACATCCCAACTTTCATGAAAAGTGGTAAGTGACAGTTTTCTATTGGGGACTTTTTCAAAACAGGTGATCTAGTGTGGTTAGTTGAATCACCCTACCCAATAGCACGCGTAACGTCACTACATTAGGGAAAAGACAATGTCCCTCGTTTCTCAAACTTTAGTACCATTTCCGGAAAATACACAGGGCTGCTTGTCAAGTTTGTTCCGGTTCTTGTTTCCTCTGGGGTGGCGGATGTTAACGCTACATTGCAGTAAAGTATTTAAGAAAGAAAGACAGTTTAATTGCCAGTTTATTATTTGCCCTATAACTCACAAACCAACGCAGAGTCAACCCTTTTTTTTGCTTTATACGGACAAGGACCTTGCAATGTTTCGAGCAATATTTCTTTAGATAAAACCATTGTTGTGTTTTCTTTTTACATTAAAACTTCAGCGTAACATTTTGAGGCGCGAACCGCAATCTTAGCAGAAAAAAAACCAAGGCGCCTGAATTGAAACGGCCAACGTGCTGTGCTGTGTCCAATAATTAAAGGCAAAGAGTTTTGTAATTAAACAGCCTCACGAGTGTTTCCAATAAGCGCATTAAAAATTTCTCTCGATCAATATTGCTCTGAAAAGATCAGGTGAGTTTGGGGGTTGATCGTTACGTTTCGCTCGCGACAATGGTCACTACCTGATGAAAACCCGCTTTTCGGGATGTAAATTTTTATCTACCACGCTCATCCTGGAAAGATGACGAAAAATTTTCCTAAACAAAATGTGGCAGTCTTCAACAAAACGGGATTTCTTTTGGATTTAATCTAAATAAAGGGATAGGCGCGACGAAGTTCAATGGCGAGGGGGAAACTGGGCAGTGTAACGATTTTTTTAAACATTTTTATTGCGACTTTGGAAAAAAACGGCAAAAAAACTTTTGCTCGTTTTGATTCTTGGTTTGAACCGAATCTTTGTCCTTCTCTTCAGTTTCTTCCAATTTTATAAACTTCGATTCAAATTGACTTATTTTGCCTAAAAATGTGTAGCTAGCACTTGAACTATAAAAAATCAATTTGTTTGCAAATGTTAGTTCGTTTACCATGTAAAATATGACTGCATTATGGCTAAAATGAAACGTTTCTTTAAAACAAAACTTCAATTGTGGATGGAAATTTAAAAGAACTCACAATTTCAACATCATCTAAAAACTACTCATGAACTAAGCTCACGTTTAAAAAGATGAATTGCCATTGTTGTTTTTTTCGTAAATGAGAAATCAAAAACTATTGGCTCTTTTTTACTCTCCACCCACATTTGAATTTGAGTTTTAAAAAATTATTTTAACGTTGTCATGATGTAATAAAACTTAGCATGGTGAACACATTAACTATTCTGAACACATTTGATCAGCATACTTTATATTGCAACATACGCTTTGAGAAACTTTACGCTTTGAGCCATAATAACACGTAAGACAACTAGGAACATAGAAAAATTGAAGCGTGTTGGGGAAAATAGGAAAAAAGCCAAATGAATATTTGGACCAACCACAATTTGTTTTAAACCGCCCGTTATAAAACTTCTATAATCGACCAAGTTTGACCGAGGCAGATACATTTCAAATTGAACAATCAAATACTTCTCTATATATCGACCAAATATGTACCGATCGAAAATAATACAAATGGACTATCCTGTTAAGCCTACTGATAGCTCTTATTCGATTCGCAGGAACAACATGTTTATGATCAAGGTTTCGATAAAGTTTGACTGTCTCAAATTCGTTTTGGCCAAATGCGACTCTGCAAGTTTCAGTTTTAAATGATCCGGCTAAATTCGCTACAAAAATATTAAATTAACACTTGATAATTATTAAAATTTTGTTGCAATTTTTCCTATGTTGCGGGTTGTTATAACTTCCTATATCGCTGGAACCCTCAGATATCAAAAATTTGAAACCATCCCCTTGAAACTTATGGTTTGCGATAAGATAGTTAGCATCAAAATTTTAAATTCGTTCATTAAATTAAAACAAAGCAATAAGGCAAATACAAAAAAAAAATATATCATAAAAGATTCGCAATGCAAATACATGAAAAAGGTTTTTGAAACTAAAAATCGGGCGAGTGGTTTGAAAAAATCAAATAACAATTATAAGAACAATCTAGCTATCCGGGTTGAGATCCCGCTCAAAAACCGCTCAAGATATGAGCGGTTTGAGCGGTTTTCCAGCAAGATTTGAGAGGTTTGAACGGTTTAGGCGGTTTGGGTGTTTTTTTTTCGGAAAAATGCTCAAACCGCTCAAATCTTTGTTTAAGAAATCGCTCAAAAACCGCTCAATTTTTGCTGTGATTTTTGAACGGTTTTTCAAGCAAGATTTGAGCAGTTTTTGAGCGGGTTTTGAGCGGTCTTATAAAAAAACCGATCAAAACCATCAAAAGGCCTGGAAAGGTAATGTGACGCTAAGATGCAGTTGCAATACTATCTACAATTTAAAAAATGTGCTTAACCGTTCTTAACTCAAGCAAGATTTTTTTCAATGTCCAGACGAAAAACAATGTGAGCAACGTTTTTCAAATTCTCGAGCAAAATAACCACTGGAAAATATGTATGTATGTGTATGTATTTACAAAAACACTTTCACAATTATGTTTAAACTCCTATAAAAAGGTTTGATGAAGAGCGAGCTCGTGAAAAGAAAAAATGAGAGCTTGTCAGCATAAAGTTTGGTTGTATACGTTGAAGGACCTTCCAATTCACTGCATTAACTTTCGTTTTCTTCAATTCGTTTCAATATCTGAGTGTGTTTATGTCGGGTATTCTAGAAAAAAGTGACATTGCCTGCAGTTTTTCTTATTATTGCGGCTGTTTTTCTTGTGAAATAAAAAAGTTTTTTTATTATTTAGATTCAACTTGTTATAACAAGTTAAATCCAAATAATAATGAAGTATTTTATTTCACAAGAAAAACTGCAGGCATTGTCACTTTTTTCTGGAATACCCGACTTAAATACACTCAGATACTGAAAAGAATTGAAGGAAACGAAAGTGAATGCACTAAATTGGAAGGTCCTTCAACGTATACAACCAAACTTTATGCTGACAAGTTCTCATTTTTTCTTTTTGTGAACTCTCTCTTCAACAAACCTTTTTATAGGAGTTTGAACATAATTATGAAAGTTTTTTTTTCCAAAATAAAAAAAGAAATGGATGAGCACATTTTCACCAAACCTCTATAAGAGAAAAGATGGTTGGTTAAAATTGGTATTAAAATTTTGTCCTTCCCTTCTCAATCGATTTTTTTTCCTTTAAAAAACCCTAAATCGAAATCGCCGAAAACAAATTCTACAAAAAAAGCATGGAGAATTTGTTGAATTCTGTTTGATAAGAATCAAACCTGTGTATAATTACCAATGCAAACGCTATTGAGTTTTTTTGCAAGTATCATGGATATTCTGACAAGATCTTGACAAGACTTGTCAAGATCTTTCCAAGATTTTCATGATCCATGATACCATTATATGTTGACAAGACCTTGAACCCCAAGTTTTGATAAATTACTTTTTTCGCGAGCATATATCTGACATATATTTGACATATCTGATATATCTCTATATCTTTTCGAGATCTTGGAAAGTAACATTTTCCAACATTTTTGGGTTCAATATTTTCCAAAATCGAAACACTGGGAAAACTCCCTTCGAGTGACTGATACTGAAAGCCGTAGAAGGAAGTACTAATTCAACATAACCGTTGGCTAATTCAGTTTTTTTTAATTTAGCAACTGAGCTGTTCTCCCGTCCAGGCTCTGGGCCCGTAGTGCTCTCGCCAGAATGCAGAGGCCGTAAAAATAAGATCGGCATCGAGAACAACACCAACGGCAGCTCCACTTCACCCACCACAGTCGGCTCATTCGGGGACACCATTCGATCTCCACTAGCAGACAAAAACAGCTCGAAAGAGACACGACTGGTGAACACCGGGTCCACGAAGACAGTGCTGCCCAAAATAGAGTCGTCATCGCCACCCAAAGCTTATCTAAACGAGGATTATAGAAAAGGATCTGCACAGTCCAAGGCCTCCCAGGACAGTGGCATCGGAGAAGGTATGTGCTAATGCTGAATTTATGTCATAATCTCACGTAGTTATGGCTTCTTGCTTCAAACTTAAGCTGATCTATTTGTCGCAATCAGCGTTTGAAATACGCTTAATAGCTACAAAAATGAAAAATGTTTTATAGCTTTTAATGATGTGTGATTATCTTTGATGTTCAGACCAACTGAAGCCAGCTGTGTTGCCCCCAGTGACTTCTAGCTCGCCAGTCACTCTGCCCGCAATAGAGAGTAAAAATGGAGGATCTGGACAGAGTGGGGGGCTCGTGCCCAGACTAGCTAGCGAGGAAATACTCTCCCAGCTCAATGAAATAGGCCAGTCTACCCTCTTTGAAATAAAAACTGTTTCAATTCGCCTCATAGGGTTCATGATTGACCCAGCAGTGTAATATTTTCATAGCGTAGCAGCTGGTGGTTTTTGAACATTTATATATTTAACATACATATCAAGCGACAAAGATCATAAGCGCTTTTCCAAAACGCTGTTCATTTTTACTACGCCCCCTTCCACCACCGACACAAAAGAGTTTGCCCGCGAATCATCAACTTCACGAGGTTGTATATCAGGAAAAATGTTTGAAATTAGGTGATCAGCATGTATGTTCCAAATTTTCAAAACGGCCGGACAAATTAATGTGATGCATCAAGGAAATGCTCATCTGATTAGTAAATTTCATATTCTGAGTCAGAAGCCTTTTTGTGTAAATTTAAAAATGCGGAGGAGTTCTTTCGGATATTTTTGAGCCTCTACTGTTTCGTCGTAGTTTTCTGTTGTTTGACTTTGCGATGTTTCAGGAATAGTGCCTCTGAAAACGAACAGATGTGGCAGCTCATTAGCTTTCAACATAGAATTAGACAACGGCTCAAAACATCCCCACTCTAGCAACAATGAAGACGAAGTGAGGGGAGGCGGGGTAGGGGCAGGGGCAGGGGGAGAAGGGAGGATGTTGCCCCCTCTGCCCCCGAGTAGACTGCACAGACTGAACAGCCTTCCGCCCATCCAGCCCCCCTCGATAGAAGTACTGGACGCCAAACAGAAGAAGGCTGAACAGAGACGCAAGGTTGGTTGCTTTTCAATTGCAAGCAGATGTATTTCATTTCCTCGACCAATTAGGGCCGCAAACCATTTAAAACCTCTGCGGTCATAAGCTAGCAGAGTAACAAATCAATCAGTAATTGAGGGCTATATATTTTTTTGTTATAATGCTGAGGGAGCAGGTTTGAACGGACCAAAAATGAGAAAAAAACGAGCATAATCCCAAAATTCAGCAAGGTAAAAAAGAATAAGTAGCAAATTCTTTGAGTAATTTTTAAGAATCTTGTACATATTCGTGCTCCAATTTTTTAGATCCTTCAAGTGAGCATCATAGATCTTCTTTCTCTTTCTTATAATTAAATATGGAAAAAATGGATTGAAAGTTATAAAAGTATAAAAGTTTAGCAAAATAAAATTCTATATTCTTTTTATGGTACGAATTCCACCACAAAATAAAATTAATTTAAAAATGAGATTTTGAGTTTTTGATGAAGTTATTCAATAATTCTTGCTGCTACTGAGGTTTTGGCAGAAGAGTTGTGCTTAGAATACATAAAGAACAAGACTGCTCGTATCAAGGCGAAGCCCTGAATGTTCCGACTGCCGTTTAAGGTTTATGGAGCAGTAATAACATTTAAAAATTCAATGAAATAAAACAAAATCAAAAAAAAGTTTTTCTAAAATTTGAAATTTTTTAAATAAAAATCATCACCCCACACGCCATACAAAGTACAAAAGGATAGATTTCGCTCCTTGTAACAAACCAATTATGGCACATAAGCTTCTTTTAACCAATTTGGAACGATTTCTAAGACGGATTAACTCTCCGCTTACGCGTTAATAGCGCGAAATACATCGCGCGTTAATTGTCCCAAATTGGCCAAAATGGCAATCTTTAAGCCCTCATAACTTTACGAAAAATAATCACAGGTGAAATATCTTTTCAAATTTGAGCTCAGGACAACAATACCTTTCGAATGATGTAAAAAAATTCCGTCAAAAATGGCTAGTTAAAAAGTCGAAATTTGTCTGAAGAAAAAAAAATCCCCACCCCGAGCACAAATATTCCGTTACTTTCGTATCGAAAGTCGGAACAATAACAAATGTAAGGTTTTCTTGTGAGTGACTGTTGATAAATCTTTTCTCCAATTAGAACCGTGACGAGAAAATTCGACAAAAGTTGGAGAAGCTTCGTCAGCGTCGCCTCTCGGAAACGGAGTTGTCGGAGCGGGATGACGACATGAAAGAGAAGGTGTCGCAGGACATCCAGCAGAAACAACAGCTTATAGAGCAGAACAAACAGAAGCTCAAGGTTGGCAACTTAGTTGAGTTTTATAAACATCGAAATTAGATAAAACACCTGCTAGCTTGTAGTTTTTTCGGCTAAATCATCTGAACACATAATCATAATGAAAATAACTGTGCATGCTAAAAGGCAGGTTAAATGCGTTTTTGAGGCATGATTTTCAAAACAAAAAACAACATTGCGTAAAATTAGAAAATCGTCGGAATTTTAAAAAAATTTGTTTTCAAAAAGTTTTAGAAAGCTTTTTTTTTTTTAAATTCAGGAAGCGCAAGAGGAGCGAAAGAGGCGTAACGAAGAGCGACTTCAGCGGGTGCGCATGAACAAGGAGAAGCTAATGATGAACGGGGGAGGGGGCTATGGGGACAAACTGGACGACAGCTACTCGGACCCTATCGAGTCAGGAGCCATCGACACAGGCGACCAGTCAGATCTGGACGGCAGTGGAGATGTTGGCAAGTTGAATGATGCAACAGGTGGCAATGGTCTGCCAGGAGCAGGCGGAGACATTAGAGGGACACAGAGGAATATAGTTGAAGGCACCAACGCAGCCGGAGAGCCCAACGAGGATGATATATTCTGAATACAATTAGTAATACCGGATGCTAATTAATTAATTTAAAAATAATTATGCTTAGTTAATGGCAATGCAAGCGAAGTGGTCGAGGCAGTTAAATTGAGGATAGAAGCGCAAGAGTGACAGTTTTTGAGTATCAAGCTATACTTTATGTTTGTTGCATCTCGATTTGAAGTGCGTGGCAACCTACCAAAATTAGAAAATTTACAGAACAGTGACATTTTTATCAGCAGAAAATGGGCTACTAGCCGCTATTTAATTGAAATCATCATTTTTTCGATTAAGGACCAAGCCCTTCTTAAATCCGAATTTTGAACATAAATTTTGTGCTAGAGGTGTTTTTCTCCAGACAAATTTTAATTTTTTAACTGACATCGGCAAAACTTTTATTCAGCGATCATTTTTCTGAAAGTTATAGATGTATGAAATTTGACCAGTTTGCCATTTACTAAGCGCTCATTGCTGGTTGAATGCTTAGTAATTTTATCCTAAGTTATAAGTCTCACCTTAAATCGTCAAATTGTCTTGACAAAAAGTAGAGTAGAAACGATAGTTAGAAAAGGTATAAAATAATTAGTTGGTTAAATACAGAGCACTGGGTAATTAGATTATTTAAGCGAATCGAACAGCTTAAAGAAATATACCTATGAGGGGAGGTTGAGTTAATCTTATTTTGTTCATCAATATTTTATCTTCTTACTAAGGTCGATGACTGAGTAGTATTTCTTGGGTTGCCTTGATGTTGTCCACTTGGCACTTCTGGTTTGGTTGTCAGTTTCGTCCTGCCGTAGTCCTTTGGGTACTTGTAGTCCAGACTTCCTCAGATGGGGTTATCTCGAGTATCTCGTTTTATAATTTTATCGAACTTGAAATGAGAATTTATTCTTTGTTTTTTTTTGTGAAAAAAGACTAGTTTAATTTTACTGTAAATGCAGAGAAGAAAAATTATTTATTTTTTGAAAAGGTCTAACTGAAGATATCTAACTTGCTGCTGACTGAGCAAAATGAAACACTGAAGATTTCAGGCCAGTCCTTTTGCTCGTAAGCATAAACCGGCGGATGATTCAATCTTTAATTATTCAGGTTTCACCTGCTCCTTTGTTCTCCCTTTCTAATAAGGGAATTTTCAACTAGTTTTTATTTGATTTTTTCAAATCAAATATCTTTAACTTATTAGTCCCCTTTGATAAAAACCGCAGCCTTCAGTTTGTCTTATTAAAAATTCATATTACTCTCTCTGATGCATCATAATGCAGGTGCACCTCTGCTTAATCAAAGCAAGGAGAATTTCAGTGCAGCCGGCAAGACTGCTAAATATTTATCCAGGTTGTTTCAAGTTAAGTTAAAAGGGACGTATTAATAATCGCCGCCCTTTTAAAATATTGAGCATGAAAAAATGAGAAAAATTGGACAAGTATTTAAAAAGGAGTGGATTTTCAAAACAAGATTTTATAGTCCTAATAAGAGTAAATCAGTCAATATCTGATTTAGTGAAAAGAGGATTTAATTTAAATGGCACGCTCTAATTTAGAATAAACAATTGAGACAATGGTCTTTTGTCTGTGTAGTATTTCTCAATACTACAACTCACCCCTTTTTTTTTTAGAAAATTAAGCTGTTCGATTCTTACAGTTACCATGGTGAAAATTTAAACACTTTAATGGTTAAATACAATAGTTATAAAATTTAAAAAGAACATCAAATGAAAAGGTTGAAAAGATAAGTTAGGTTTTATCTAGAGCTTCCTTCCGGCTTCTAGCTCCACATTGTATGATCTGAGGATCGCTATCTTTCTCTGTGAAGCCTCAAGTTTTTGTTGCAACTTCACGATTTTCTTCTTTTTAATTTTGTTCTTGATTCGTAGTCTGCTCATTCCGTCCGTAAGTTGTTGAATGTCGTCCCGTTCTTCCTGTCTGTTTTTTACATGGTTCGGAAAAGCAGTTATTCCCTCGAACGGGATGGTGACTTGCGTGCCTCCTGCCTTGAGGATGTAGCCGTTTTCCTCCCTCTTCTTTAATTTCCAGAAGTTGTTTTCGTTCTTTATAACCACTTCTGGCTGGGTTATGAAATCGATAGGCATCATCGCCTTTTCCATTGTCGTTGAGTTGATGATTTCAATGAACGATGGTAGCTTCCATCTGTTATAATTTTCCTTTATTGAGTACTTTAAACTCGTTATATATTTTGGATTTTCCGTATCCAATTTGGTTTCTCTGCACTTCTGCAGCTCCAATCTTTGGGTTAAACTGGGAAAGTTGCGAGGGTTCTTATTTAACCCGTCGTCCATTGACAAAGATTGAACTGCTAGAGGTTTCCGTTGTTTCTTCCTGAGAGGCAGCTTTCTTTTGAACTCCTCTGGTGCTGGGTCTGCATTTCTGCAGTTCCAGTTCAAAATTGGGTCGTATTCCATTTTGCTAAACATCAATATAAAATGACCAAATATTCAAAATCCCGAATTACATTCGGATATTCAGGCTAATTATCAACTGCTTTGAACAATGAAGGACAAAGTGTAAAATTGTATATATATAAAAGGTGGAACATATAATCTTGTGGTTTCACACAAACCCACCACGGAAAACAAATGAAGAAAAACGATCATGGTGTTTATTAACCACAGGAATAAAGCACTTTACAACACTGAGTTAAGCTCAGATATGAAACTTAAAGCAAAAATGCAAATGTAATTAAAGCAAAAAATGGAAATTTGGGCATTAATTAACCCCTAATCTTAAATGTATGTCCACCTGGGGTCATCCACAGGCTTACCATGGGGTCCCCTTTTATAGGTAAAAGGGACTAGAAAAAACCGGGGGGGGGGGGTAAATAGTATATAATATAGCATATTTAAAGGGTATTTTGTGTTTACTATTGTTTATAAAGATATATAAATTGTGAGCGATTTACTGAAGGGTTGAGGCCTTAACAAATGTAGAAGTGTAGAGGAATTGTATAATGACATCGGATAGTGTGGATAATTAATTCCAGGGGTCGGAAAAATCACAAGGGATGTGGCATAAGGGAAAAAATTTTGCAGTATTAGGGAGGCATCTTGTACAAATAGTGATACCTTGATGGCAATCAGTAAGATGTTGATAGCTTGCCATACTTTGGGTCTGGGTACTTCCCCAATTTGCGCTTTTAACCATACTATCGCATGAACAACAAGGGGAGTAATATGAAAGTGATTGGGTATAATTTGGGACTTGGCAAATCGGGCGTAAAATCTGTCCATATTTAGAAAAATGGGCTATAATTTGGTCATGACAGTCTATACAGATAAAGTCTGGTGGATGATGTGGCTCGTTATTATGTTGTTTCTTGAATTTTGACTTTGGTAAGTAACAAATTGGGCATTCAAGAATGGGTTGTTCAATGTTTTTTTTCGGAAGTACTGTAGTATGGGTTGAGAAACGTAAAGAAAACTTTGGAAATAAAAACAACAAGCTTGAAAAATTTTACATATAAAAGCTGGTAAAGTTATCTGAATCATTTTTTTAATGAAAGAAAGATTTAAAAAATAGGTCGATTGGAGGTTTGGAAATTTATGTCGATAACATCTTCGTCATTGTTGAATGCATTTAAGATAAAATTAAAAAATCTACTGCTGCTTTTGACAGTAAATTTTTCTTCATCGTGGAAGCCAGGACTATAATGTGTGCAAAAAATATCCAACTGCTGTTGATCGGGATGAATATAAATACGGTTTGTGCGCGCTTGGTAACCGTCAACTTGGACGAGGAGATTATAATCAAGGACAAAATCAATGTCCATTACCAAGCAGAACATTTTGCGGCTTCCTAAACAATCAGCATAATTGTTTATTCTTTTTTTATTGCCTTTACAGGTCAGACATTTGTTAAGTTGTTCGAAATTTAATACGTGAACATCCTGGTGGCATATATGGCATAAGAATTTGTCAAAAATTAATATGTTTTGGATTTGAGAGTCATGTAGCATTCATTACAAATAAAATGAAAGGGTTGTGGATACTTTCTTTTGTGAAGTTTTCTTAATTGAAGGGTTGTTTTCAATTCTTGACAAACAGGGCATTCGTTTGTCATTGTATAAAAAGAAGTTATGCCCAAAGCTCATCAAAGGCAATTTTGGAAAAACAGATAAGGCAGATGTTTTTACATTTCTCAATGCAGTTATTGCATACAGTAATATAAGGGTGCTTAACTATCATATGTTCACCCTTTCGTTTGTTTCTGGATAACACTAATTGGTTGCAGATATTACAGACATCGTATTCTGTCATACTAATTACATGAATAATCTGCCTGCAAATGGGGCAAGGAATTTTTGCGAATGGTGTACTAGCTCTTAGCTTGAGTTTATTATAACAATTAACGCAAACTAAATGTGGTGGTTGTGGAGGAAAATTTTTGTGTAATTTTTTCGTTTGATCGCAAATTTCCAAACATATAGGACATTCAGTTGTCATTCTCACTGCTCATTCAATCTGGTCTAGATCGCAGGGAATGGGAAATGTTAGGCTATTTGCAAGACATAGTAATAAATGCCAGTATTTATTGCTTGGTTTAATAATGGTGCTGTGTAGTTCGCCATTATAAAGCGTTTCGAAATGAATTATAAAAATGGGGGTTATTTTGAAATTTTCTGCTAGAATGAAGGAGCGTTGGAACCCTTTAATTTGGACAAAGGTTCCTTCGTAAAAACTATCATTCTAGTCTAAGGTACATTGTTCACATTCAATATTGGTAGGACAAGACTCTGGGTGATCAGATACAAAAAGAAAGAATGGCCAATATCGGGAAGTGGGGTAAATACTAAGTTCCTCAAAAGTACCTGTTTCGATGTATCGAACATTAACTATCATGTAAACTTGATAATGTGGTTGTAATTCAAATGTTTTCTTTTTATGAATAACTGAAACTGGTTGGTCGTTGATATTAAACATCATTTTTTCTAATTAGAGAAAATAGGTGGATTTAGAAAAAATTCTGCATTTGTGTCAAAAGCAAGAAAATGACTTAGTTCAAGGAAATTAGGGTGA